ATTTGTAATGTGATTATAATTAAAAGTTTTATAATATCCCATTTTGTTATCTTAATATTAAGTGATATATAGAACTAACCCCCCTCCCATATAAAAATAATTGATATTGTGAGCAGTATTGTGAGCATGTAAATTCCAGCTACACAAACTCACAATGTGTCCAATAAAATATATAGATAGATAATCTAATATTCCAATAATGTATTTTCAATACAGCAGACCCAACCAACTTATGTATTTTCAATACTAAACTAAAACTAAATTAAAACTTCACGGGATTTCCTAAACAAATACAATACAAATACTCTAGGTGCCTGCCAGCCATTCCCCTAGACCAAATTCCAAAGATATGTATATAATCCTGAATGCTTTCTAGGTGGGTGCCTTCTTAACTGTTTCCCCTGTCTTACCTAGTCATAATGATGGTGGCCAAAACTAATCCATAGTTTAGGCATTTAGGCAATTTTGGTTTAGGCCTAATTTTACCCTTGAGAATATTAAACATCCAGTCAGAATACAGTGTGTAATGAAAAAAATTGGCCTCTAAATTTGTTTTCTAAGAAAGTAACCAAAATCCAAAGCCACATAATAAAAATTATGTCAAAGAATTAAAAGATCATAAATTATTACATTAAAAATTTTGAAGCATATTATTATGTAGGCTTTAGAGCAATGATTAAAAAACTTTGCATTGAAATTTTTCTAGTTGAATTTCTTTTATTTTTAATTGACAAATTTCTAGAACATATAGTTTTATATAAATGATCTTCAGAACTTAAGCTACAAATTGATATATTGTGTTAAAGCAATTGTTAAAAAGTTTCATGTTAAAATTTTGGAGACAAAAATTTAAAAAAATTTAAAAAAAAGAGACATGATTTGACCTTACAAAAAATTGGCAATAGTATTTTATATCGAGTTTTTTTTATTTAATAAAGTAATTGATTGACTTTTAAATGAATCTAATTTTGTTTAACTATCTCATGTATTTCTTGGGTAGTTTAATTTTTGTGAGGTCAATTTTTTTCATTACACACTGTACATTTCATGATTTTATAGTGCATAAAGCAGTAAAAACTTGTATGAAAACGGGTTATCTTCCCATTAGAGGATTTAGCAATTCAAAAGGGAATAATTTGCCAACTGAGTACTGTTTTAATCGCATTCATAGAAATGTCAACTTCAAATTCAAACTGATGAAGAAACAGAAAGATTTAATTCAATATTCCACTATTGTCAAAACATTTTGGTAGTAAAACTAAGTTATAAAAAGCAGAAAATAATTTTAATCTTGTAGAAGCATATTATTTACTTTTTTAAAATAATAATAATAAAACCATTACAAAAATATATTTTTTTGTAGTGATCTTGTGTTAATCCATTAACTTTAATAATACATTGTTTACCATAAAAAGCAGCATAATTTTTGAGCTAAAAAAAAACATATCGAATTTCAGAATAATATTTTAAAAAATCTGAAACTAGTATTATAATTTAAAATAATAATAAAGAAATTATCCATTGATTAATAATTTTTTCGTTTCCTTAATATATTTATGAATGTCCTGCAGAAATGTATCATCAATTGAGACCACATATCCACATTCAATATAATTTGTTTTTTTTAGTTGGATATTGTTTGGAAACATCTCTGACAAAAATTTCAAATAATTAATAATTTCATCTATTTTAAAGAAATTAATTGGCTATTAATAAATGATCAAACTAGCGGTTTTTTTTTAAAAAAAATTTATAAAACAATACAAACCTGCAGTCATTGTATTATCAGGGATTGTATCTTCCCAGCTCAAGTATTTGCCGCCAGAATTAATTACTGGTGATATGTTTTTGATTAATCTACCAGAATTGTTAGTATAGGATTAAAGACTAGTGCTGTAATCCAAAAAAGGAAAAAGTATGGTTGCAAAAGTGGACGCAAAGGTAATTGCAACCACCTTTTATATGCCGTAAATACAATTACTACCATCATCATAATTTATGGCACTAGTCTTTATATAGGATATTTTTCCTATAATTTGATCTAACGTCAAATTATTTTTATTTGATGCGATAAATACTCTAATATAATATAAGTTATTTAAAGATTAGTACATACTCTGTGACAATTAATATTAATATTAACATAAAAAAGATATATACCCTATAAGTGGAAACAATATTTTTTTTTCAATTTGTTCTAATACGTTATATTTATATATTTTTTCTGTTGGACCTTCTATTATGTTCAAATTTTCATTAATTTTAATATTTTTCTTTTCTGTTTTTTTGATGAAATAAATAATAATATAATTATTATTTTCAATTGTCAATTTTATTAGTAAATAAAAAAAGGAATGTTGGTAAAGGATAATTATTTAATTACCAGACAAAGATTTTGAAAAGTCAACTTCTACATATTGATTTTTCATATATCTTTTGACAATATATTTTACCCAAATAGAAATTTTTGGCATTTGGTGATCTTGAGTTTGTTTTTCAATATGTTTTATTATGGTCTCCAATGGTTTTGAGAATCCAATATTTAACATGTCTCCAGTCTCTACAAGGCAAATAATTTTCAACTTGGTTAATTTTAATTTACTACAACTGACAAAATCTAAGATCCTTCCGGGTGTTCCAACTAAAATGCCAACAAATCCATTACATAAACTTTTTACATCATGATAATTGTGTATACATAGACATTTTAAACTAGTATTAATTGTTAATGTTTCAAACTCGGATACAATTTGTTTTGCCAAGTTTCTTGTCGGTGTCATGATTATGGCTCCTGTATTAAAAAACTTATTTTCTGGCAAAGATGTGGAACAAAGTAAAATCTCAATAATTGGTAATGCAAGTGCCATTATTTCATCAGTACTACTGGTCTAAAGCAAACAAACAAAATAAAAATAAATAAAAAACCAAATTATCCATTTATAAGTGAAGAAATAAATTTGATTACTTTTGCTCTAATTAAGACATCTTTCCCATCATGTATAGGTTTGTAACATGCTGCTTGGAAAGGAGATAATGATTCGATTACTTGTTGTTTTAATGAATCAAGTTCTTTGCTAAAAATAAGGAAAAGATATTAATCACCACCATAATTTTTTATATAACTAGAGTAACGACGACGAGTGGCGGGTGATAACCACCACCATCCTTAAAAAACACTTACTCAGGTCTTGTTGCTTCTGCAACATTGTTGACTTTGGTTCTTCTTACTCATGGCATTTTGAATTTTTAAAAGAAGTTTATGAATGATCGACATGTACACGCTAATTATTTATCCTATTGGTTTTTTTTTTTGGTATATAGGACAGATGCGAATTGGTTTTTTTTTTTTTTTGGAAAAAACAATTTATTTTTTGACAGAGTCCAAGGTGACAAAACGTGAGTGTTGTTATTAGCATGGTGGAATTTTGTTTTATCACATTTGTCACTTTGTGACGATCTCAAAATTATATTGTGCAATGAAATAATTTAAAATAAAATTCATATGCAAAGTCACGTTTTCAATAAACAAATTTTTTTTTTGTGATATAATTTTTAAATAAACTTTGTAACTAGTTATTAAATCAAGAGAGGAGCATGGTTAATTACGATCTAATCAAGATAACGTCAATATCCAAAAAGTTTTACTAGAAGTGACTTAACTCACATAGTAGTTTTTACCTTTTCAAGAGATATCTTTTTATTTATTTTTTATTATTGCTTCTTTAAAAAACACTATATAATTAGATATGTTATTAAGAGAGTAGGAGGGTTAATTATGATCTCATCAAGATAACTTCAATACTCGTGAAGCTTTATTAGTAAGGTAGTTTCCTCTAAATATGTATTACTTCAATAATTATTTTCTCTATTTTTATTAATTAAATATTTATTACAGAAAATTCTACCAATTTTTTTAAAAAAATTATTCTTTCATATATTAATATAAAGAAGATTGCCTGGTTAAAATTTAATCCCAATAACATAAGTATTCATAAAGTTTTGATATAAGTAATCAAAATTATATGACATTTTTTAGCTAATTTACTTTATTTTTAACAAAACAACTTTTCTATTAGGATAATAAAAGAAACTATATTATTAGATGCAACATATTGAGAAGGTTATTCAGTCGAAATTTAATCTCTATAACACAAGTATTAGTGAAGGTTTAATATAAAAGTATTTTCATTTAAATTGAGAGATTTTAAATAGTAACTTCGCTTTATTTAAAAAAAAACTTTTTTCCCAATGCAATCACAGATAAGACTCTACTATTAAACGTAAAACCAAGCATATATTGTTTGTTTAAACATGTGCATCTCTAATACATCAATACCTGCGGAGTTTACTAATATTAAAGAAGTATTTCTTTATGGTATTATTAACTATTTATTAAACTATTTATATCTACAATTTAATTACAGATAAATAATTTATTACTCCAT